GATAAGATACCTCGCCGATTAACGCGAAGACATTTGTGCGCATATAAGATCTTCAATTACTGTTATGTACTTGATATATATATATATATATATATTACGCACTTAAGTGCCTCCGCATTACATAGAGTACAATCGGTGATACGGTATCTTTGTACGCAAAATTAGCAAATCGTCAGCTGGCACTCTGCGTGTTAATTTGCGAGAATTACGGGACGGGGAAACGGAGACTAGGTTCGCGCAAATAAGCGAGCTTGCGAAAAATGAAGCGTGGCATCTACTTAACGAGTTATCGGCAGTGGTAGCGACGACCGGTCTCAACAAATCGTTGCTAAAATAATACACGTACGATCATTGAAACCGGTCGATTTTCCCGATCAATTTCCGGGACATGTGCGACGGATCGTGATTATCTTTCGGCCGCCGCAATTGACACTCTCGTTTTTATCTTTTGATGAGATCAGCATTTTCGCGAACGCACACGTCGCAATACGATTCTTTCAATGTTCGCCGTAATTCGTTCTGTTATGGTCGGATTGAAAATCTGCGAGATAATAAAAATCTACGAGAAATAAAAAAATCATACTACCGTACGCTAAAATACGAGTACAAAATAATCGGATGACATTTTCGCGGATTAAGATCGATGGAGGAGAGAGGATAAAAGAAATCCAAGCTCGAAACCTACGTTCGTGTCACAACGCGTCACAAAGATCATCCTGCGTTTTCCATCACTTGACCTGAACTATACTCAAAATTGTATCGAAGATCCAGTATTCTCATAGTCGTGATAAGAATAAACTGCAGGTTTCTATGAAGTTGTCATCATCGTTTTAAAAAGAGTGAGGTAATTTGAATCATATTGCTCTTTCTCTGTCAAGTTGAAGAGAAATATTGATTCAATTCTTTTTAATGGAGTACAGATGCTAAGATCAAAGAATATGCAGTCTATACTTATTACGTCTAGGAGTATTCTCATCTGCTCGATCGAAGGAGAACAAGTATCGATTTGTAAAAAGGTTTCGACTTTTGCATGTGAATAATATATTATTAATGATATAACACATCAATAATTATATATTAATATTATATTGTAATATATAATGTTATATTATATTAATATACTAATATAATAATATATAATATATATTAATATAATGTGTTATGTTAATGTAATATTAATATTTAATTTTCATTGTGTATTATTCACAAGAATACTTTTTCAAAGAGCGACAAATCTTCGAAGAACAGTGCATCAAAACTTGTTCCTTGTACACCTTATATTCCTTATACAAAGGAAAAGAAGAGGTCGATACGCGAGCACTTTGTCTACGACGAGATTAAACTACATCGCGCGCTTTACAAATTATTCATTCATCATCTCGATGTAACATAATATACGTGATTTTTACACACATATATAATATATATTTTTTTTATCTACATTCGTTAGTATAAATCCCAGTACGCCTAAGTTCCATATCACAAAGACATGCCGTTCGGTATCACGATTTTTAATCCGCCGATCGCTCCGGTCCCCCTCGAGCTTAATTGACTTCGCTGCTGTTCGCTGCTATCATTTGCCGGCTGCATCAACATTCTTTTCACTCTCTTCTCTTTCGTTTTTTTTTTCTCATCACGTTTCTCTCCTTCGTCGTTGTCTCGTCACTCATCCACGCTCGGCTCTTACGACTGTCCGCCCCGCGCACATGGTTTTGTTCGGTTCAACTAAATTTAGCGATTTCGCATCGCCAGAGTCATCGCGAGGCGCCCGGTTGCATTGTTCGCGGACTACATGCTGTCGTGTTCCGAAAGCTGTTCTTGATGAACAGATTGCCCGACGATTATAGTCGGCCACAAAGCAAAGCTTGAAATAACTCGGGGAAAATCAGTGACGGTAAGGGCTACTTAAAGAGCATCAGTGTTTAGCGATGGATGGTTAGCGAGGAAATGATGCATGTTAATGATTAATGATTTCTATATTGCGACCAATAGTATATTTGCACTTGGATAAAATTACACATTAAGAAATCGATTACCTATATCAGCTTGGATCGAGTTCTCTTTTGTCTTTTTTCGTACATACTTTCTCTCGTACAAATAAATAAACATTCGCAAAATTTCTTCCCGATTGCCGAAAAGAATTACGTAGTAAAAAACACGTTTCGTTTCTAACATGTTCACGGGACAATCGTTACAGAATAACATATTACAATCGTTTCCTCTTCAAACATAAAATTAATAATTAATTAAAACATTCTCAACTTATACGATTTATAATGTACAGTTCCTAATTTTTAACGGATAAAACTATTGATAATTAGTGAATCGATGATATGATATTTGAGCGGCTTTTATATAGAAATAATTTACACTACGTACGAAAAGAACGATTTTAATCGTTACCTAAAATTTCAGCTAGATATGTGAAAATAATTTTGTTGGACCATCAAAATAATTATGTAGAATATTCAAATAAAAATTGGTTACTAGAATGTCAAAACTTTTTGTAGCATTGCTCATCATATTTGAGATTCCTACGCAATTATTTGGATGGTTCAACAAAATTACTTTTCTGTATCTAGTTAAATATTTAGATACTTTAGTAAAATCATTCTTTCCACGTAAACACTATCGTGTTCCTTTCTTTGAGGTTGTAAAAGTCTATTTCTGAGTTTTCAACATATAAAAGCCGTCCATTCATGGCAGGATCTACGAAGTACCGATAATAATTACGCGGAACTAAAGCGGCCGCAGGACACTCGAGTCGTTCACCCCGCATGAGTACGGAAAATCTCTTTTATTTTCGGACACGGTTCTTTGTCGTGTGTCCTTTAAACCCGACTTCTCACTACAGAGACGCATAAGACCTGACCAAACGTGATTTGCGGGGAAAAAGACTTGAAAGACGGATAGTGCGTGAAAAACGCGACTGTCGCGTCTCCCGAATGAGAACCGCGTGGATAGAAAGCCGCTATTGAACATGGGGCATTTTCATCCGCGATAAAATATACGCAGCACGAATAATGAGCATCGACACAAGAATGCGCGAGGGGGAAATTAACCCAGTTAGAAGCCAAGAGAAGTTAACAAACCGGGCGCGATTCTTCCCGTCGTAAATTGCGCGTCGCGCCGTTCATCGCATCGAATTAAACGCTAGAGCGTCGTAAAATAAGCGAAGTACACCGCAACCGCCAGGTACATTTTTCCGGCGTTTCCCCGGTTCACCGCGCTTGCTTTTATAATCAAAACTCGTTTCAGAATTGACTGAACTTCGAGTTCGGTTGAAACCGTAATGAGTGTTCATAATTCATCACTAATGGATTCGTGTAATGAGCAATTTGATGCAGGGAAGGCAGCTTCCTCTATTCCCTATAAGAGCCGCGTAATTACAATAATACGGAAAAAAGAATAATAAAGTGCATAATTAATTATGACAATTAAAAGTTAGCGTCAAAAGCATAAAAAAAAATACTTTCGGCTCATTTCAAGAAACTAAAAAAAATGTTAAAATAATAATTGCTTAACGTGTCCCGTTCCACTCGATTAAAACAAACATTGTATAAAGACATATCTAAACGCATACAGTACAAAAAATTTACAAAACAAAATTACAAAAAAAAAATTCGTAAAAGCTACAAACTATATAAGATCGCATCATCATATTTTTACAATGTTCTTCTTCATGAGCGATTCAATTGGCTCGATCTACGAACTTTGAAGCTCGAATTGCCGTCGCGCTTTTGCCAAGTGTGTGCAACAAATCGGACGTATTGATGACGGAAAAATGTATTTCAGTATTTTCTTTCAAATCACAGAGAGACGACAGTGTCTTCAAAATCAGCGGCAAATTATTCTATTCAGTCGTATACTTCTTCATCAAGCCTATTGTGAGCGAATCGTTATACCTGCGCCACCGTCATCGGCGACATCGCGACACGATATATCTGACGTGCTACATCATGTACGACCTATCGAACCGTCGCGGTTTCCCCGGGCTTCCCTTGGCACAATGACCTCCAGGTCGCTCGAACTACTCCCGCGCATCGTCGACGGCTCGTAAGAGACGATCGACGTGCATTAATCATGATTCATGAACCGAGACTTATGTGAATGTAAATCAATCGACGATTCCTTTGAAACCAGCTGACTTCTGTTTGCGATTAATCCGACACGGCCTGTCGTCTCATCTCCGGTGAAATCGATTGTGTTGAAGAAAATGTCGCGCCAACGAGGAAGGATAAATGATTCATATTATGCATCGTGACAAAGCTGACAGTAATATTTACATACTTTTCTATACTTATCCTTGTCAATCAGTCGACTTGTTACACAGATATGAAAAATTGGATTTCACGTTTCATCGTTCATCTCGAATAAAATGTAAAGTCCAATTTTACAAAGGGCGAAACACAACCGAGCGGTGAATGAGTGGCTCACATAGTCGCGTTGTGTTGAGTGTCGAGATCGTCCTCACGATTTCCAGCACGTTTCGAGAAGAAGAAAAGGTCCTTTGACTCCATGATTGTACGTTCCGCAAAGGACTCGACGACAAGTGTTTTAAGACGCACAATCGCGTGTTGAATCGTTTTATACCTATTTACGCGGATTTCTGACGCTTTGCTAGAGTTCTTAAGGTATTGTCATAGCAGAAAAATTCGCTTTTTATTGAAAAGCGTACCGACCGCATATTTTCACGGCGGGGGCAATGGCAACAGGAATGAATCCCGAAACGAGCGGACCAGAGAGCAACCACGAGGCGATGTCGCCGTGGCTGAAGGTATGATTTCGAGGTTTATCGCGCAATCGACTTTGTAGCGCTAGGCTAGGCGTGAGGCATGAAATCAGTTATAACATTGGTGACAAATCCGCGAAAATAAGCCTTCCTTCGCTCAATCTTTTTTTTTTATATTCGTACGATTATTCTCGAATTAACGTCTTTAATTCCATTGATAACGTTAGACGTTCGCTTTTTAATTTTAAGAGATAAACACTCTACCTATAAAGCGGCGTATTTCATAGAAAATAGATCTCGCCTCTTTTCATCAAATTATAACCGATTCAAGCCTCATCGACAATCAGCCACAGCGACCGTAGAAACGCGACGCGTGAATCACAGCGGTATCCGAGATCGATGATAAGACAGCCACCCACCCTTTCGACCGCAAGTAACCTTCCTCGACGTCATGTCGAGGCGGCGCAGCTCAGACGTCGCCCGAACGGCAGGCAGCGAGACACAGCCGAGTTTCACGTTATTAGGTGACCGGGATCGGATCATCCTTATCTTTACGTTATGCGATCGTTTCGTGACGAAACGCTCGTCAGTAGCAATGCCTAGAACGGCAGCGAGCGAGCTGAAGGGAGGAGAAAAGGACGACTAGCGTCACGTCTCGACCTATCGTCTCAACTCCTCGAGGATCTCCTGGATCCCCGGCTGGAACGAGAGTACCAACCGGCTAGAGCTGCTCGAGGAGCCGTGAGAGCCATAACTGTCGTGTGACGCGCCATTGTTATTGTGCTGCTGTTGCTGCTGCGTCTGGTGCGTCTGACGAGCGCGCTGCGACTTGCCGGTCGTCGCACCGTCGACAGAATTGAGCGACTGATGGCTGCTACTCTGGTTCGATCGATGACTACTATGCAACTGGGACTCGGACAGACAACCGTAAGAGCCGAGTGGGTAGGGATCGAAGATCGTCACCGGCAACTCGCTTGTGCGCTCTCTCTGCTGCTGACGTTCGGTCTTGCTCGTGGAAAGGTCGCCGCTCGACGCATTGTTACCGCTCTGCAACTGATTGTTCGTCTTGCTGGAACTCCTGCTACTGACGGAATTGAGCGACTGGTGGCCGCTGCTCAGTCCCCCCGTTGTGCCCCAAGTACTGCCGTGCAGCTGGGACGCGCCGTACGCTGACGAGTAACCCGCGTAAGCGGACACCACGTCTTCGACCAAACGGTTACCCCTTTGCTGACCTGTCGTCTTATTCGCGGAGATGTCGTCACTGGTGTTATTGCCGCCCTGCAAACTGTTAGTCTTGCTAGAGGAGCTCCTTCCGCCACCGCCACCGCCGCCACCAGTCCCGCTAATGGAGTTCAGTGATTGGTGGCCGCTGCTTAATCCCCCCGTTGTGCCCCAAATACTGTGTAATTGGGTCGTATTGTACGAGTAACCCGCATAAGCCGACACCATGTCCTCTACTAAACGATTCCCTCTCGTCTGACCCGTTGTTTTACTCGTCGAGATGTCGTCGCTGGTGTTATTGCTACTCTGCAGACTGTTAGTCTTGCTGGAACTCCTGCTGCCGGATGCGGATGTTCTCAGAGTGGGACCGCCGCCGGTGGTCGCGGGTTGCGCCGATGTCACCGCCGGTAGCGTGTCGTTCTTGTCGCCCGGTGGCCTCGGTAATCGACGGCGTAGCCACGGATGCCTTAATGCTTTGTTCGGAGTCATTCGACATTCCGGTTCCCACACGAGGCAACGCCTGAGAAAGTCCAGGAACAACACATCGTCGCAACCCTTCAAGGCGCGCTCGAGATCGTGCGAGCCCGGCGGGCCGCGCAGCTTCCCTCGTCTCGAGAGACCCCCGCTTAGCACTGTCGTACCGTCCGGCATTGCCGTCGCGGTGCAGTACTTCGGGTAGCCCTTCGAGCTGATGAACTGACGCGACCGTTTCGAGTTTTGCAGCAATCGTTGTGGCGGCATGCCTAGCATTTCGATGATGCACGCCAGCTGGTCCGCCTCGTCTTCGCCTGGTAACAGTGGAAAACCAGTGAACAACTCTGCCAGAATGCAGCCGAGGCTCCACATGTCGATCGGCATCCCATATCTTGCGCCTAATATCACTTCTGGGGCGCGGTAGAAGCGACTCTGAATGTAAGTGTATACCCGTTGATTCTCATAGCAACTGGAACCGAAATCTATCACCTGCAACACGTGAAATGAACTTATTAATACACTGAGTTAATTTTGAATAATACGTTTATAATACATGGTGAGAATAATGATTTTATTAAAGTATCTGAACATTTAGACAGATACAGAACTGAAAATAAATAATTCTGTTGAATTATCAAAATAATTAGGTAGAGCGCGCTAAAACTAGTTGTTAAAATGTCATAACTTTTTGTAGCATTGTTCACCACACTTTAGTTTCCTACGTAATTATTTTGATGGTCCAACCATATTATTTTCAGATTTGTAGCCACCTAAATTTTTAGATATTTTAGCGAAATTGTTCTTTTCGTGTGAATTTTTGAAGCGATAGATAATTTGGAAATGAAAATTTCGTTTATTGAAAAACAAAACTACTCATTTCAGAAAGAAAAACTAGAATATTTGTTACAAAATATGGAATATCTACAGAAAGAACAATTTTACTGAAATATCTAAAAATTTAGCTAGATATGTAATATAAAATTATTTTCAGATCTATATCCACCTAAATTTTTAGATATACTTTAGCAAAATATTTTTGTATAGAGTATAATATTCGGAATATTTGGAATATAGAATTATAGAAAATTTGTTGTCATATAACTCAATTTATCCTAGCCCGACGTACCATCGTGACTATGTACATGTCGAGACATATTCATTCGTGAGAATCGATCAAGTTCGTATAAAGCTCAGGTTCGTTAATAATTTCTGCGGGCAAGTGGCAGTAGAGCAGTGATGGCGAAACGGGATGTACTCCGAATACACGCGCATTCGAATATATCTGTTTCCAGTTCGTAAATGATGCACGTGGCCCACGTAAAGTAAAGCATGTGTATCGTTTATGGCGCACCTGGCAGCGAACGTGTCGTAATGATGGCCCGATAATTTTACCTCACGTTCGTCGAATGTAATACCATTTCAATCACAACGTGCCTCGGTAACTATCGCATGCAGTGAAGCAGTTCGTCCATTTTGCAATGCGATTTCAACACGTTTTCTTGTCATACTCGTATAAAATAATATTTCTTTTATTCCGTGCAATAATATTTAATTAATGTATTTAAACGATGTAATTTTATGTAATAAATATGTCTTTCTGCATACTATTATCAATGCAAAAATTATTTACTAATATAATTTCGGAGAAATGTCAGAGAGTTTCTTAAAGTGACCCTATAACACTGGTCAATAATACTGATCAGTAATATTGAATCAGTAATACTAGACAGTATACATCATTATTTTTAGTATTTTCACAACCTTACGTGAACAGTATTATTGACAACATATTTCACTTTACACTGTTAAATCTGTAGTGTGAATTTTACCTAATGTGAGTCGCCACTGCTTCTACTAAATATATCGTTATTTTTTACTGAACCGGTAATTAAATTTGACACTATATCGTGTCAATTTGACACTGTATAATGTCAAATATAATCATTGTTTTAGTGTAAAATAACGATATGATTGATTAGGAGTAGTGTCAACTCACATTAAGTTAAATTTGACACTATAGATTTAACAGTGTAGTTTTACGTTATATTATTTATTGCACTGTGTGACATACTACTGTGACATGGATCTTAATAAAGTGACACTGTTGCTCGAGAATGAAAATCCGGATCACTGTCAGTGTTTTACGTCAATCCATCAATATTAATCATACACGATCAGTAATACTGTCGGTATGTATTACTATCAGTAATACATTCGTTAATACTGACAGTATTATTGATCAAGTAAGGTCACCTTTTTACTCTAAAAAATGTGTGGATTTAACACCTCTATAATGTGGATTAACTCCCATGCAGTGTCTATATATGTAATTCTCATTGTGTTAATTGATGTTAACATTATCACCAACATGGTGTGGATTTCAAATCTCTGGTGTTTAGTGTTTATATCAACACTATCATGGTGTGGATTTAAAACCCATGGTGTGGATTTAAAACCAAAACATGATGTTAAATTCACATCATATTAGTGTTAATACTAACACCAACACAATGAGAATTATATAGACACCGTTATTTTTATTTTTATATAGGATATAAAAACAAAAGTATAAATACAAAAATATCTATGTTTCTATTTGCATTGCGATACAAAGCGATAATTAATTTTTCGCGCTGTTAGGATTTACTCAGTATATTTTCTTCTTTAATTTACGATTTTCTGGAAGTCGTCAGTATTATTACGTTTCTCGATACTTGGGACGACTGGCAAAAGATGTATAAGACTGATTGCACTAGCAAACGTCGCGGTCTTACAATTCGATAATCCGTGCCTTCTGGCCTACTTTAATATTTCGGGTAACATCGTCCCTTTCGTGTAGCGAATAGAAACAGCATGTTGGAGATTGTCCAGGATTCAGCTCGGCTCACTTTAGACTCGGCTGTTCGGTCGCGATGCGCGATTTCAATGAATTATAATTTCCGACAATCAATACCTGATGCGCAACCTCCAACGAAATCTGTTTAAAAATAGCATATCTTCCATGGATCAAGAAACCGAGGTACCAGGTATTCATAAAGCATTTTCTAGAATTCTTACATTTCTTCGTACTATAACCAAAAGCAGAAAAACACTCGCTCCAACAATAATGCGATCTGTAATACAGTACTCAAAAAGTATTTTCAAGGAAGATGTCTTTTTAAAAAGAACATCTTTATTTTTAAAAAGTAAACATTAATTATAGCAATTTATTAATAAAGAATACGACAGATTGTATATTTCTTAAAATTATTTTACCTAAAAAATGTGTAATAATTAAAATATATTTTCTTAATAATAAACAAGCGCGAAAAATTGTATTGTTTGAACGAATAAAAAGTATTCGTATAGTTGAAAAATTAGCTTCTAAAATCATGAATATAATTATTTTCACGGAACTTTTGTTGTTAGGTTAAAATGTACTTATTGCTCATAAATTAATAGTTAATGTTTATTTTCTAGAAATAAGGTTTCTTCTCTAAAAATTTTCCACGTACAAATACATGATTTGCATTCATAATACATATAACTCATTACACAATCTGTCGATAATATCTATCTTAGATATTGTCCGTATATAATTAAATCTTCTATTCAATTTTCCGGCTTAATAAATGGGAAGAAACTGGTCGAAAGAAAGCAGGAAAGAATTATCTAGGACACTTTGTACATCCTGCTTTCGTAGTTATTGCGCGAAATGATGAGCAGGAGAAATAATTCGCAATTAATCAAGAGCCACTACCATGAAAGCATAATTCGGTGTACACTGTATATTCTCTGTATCGATAGAAAGTCCGCTTTCCAACGCGCTTTGGAGTGATACTCGTGTTCGACCTGTGTTATGTCTACAGGAAAATACATCGTAGAAAGATGTCCCTTCTAAGAGAATTAATCGTCATAATTCACAATAAATTTCTGAGAATAAACACGTGACATGTTTGATTAGTTTCAATTATATCCCTGAATGAATCAGCATTTGGCACAAGTTCGAGTAGTGAGTTCGATGAAAAATGGCTCTGCTTATCCCACGACCCCAAACTTCCACGTTTCACTTGACCCCGTGTGGTAGACACGTAAGCAGTCTCCACGTGCGTCATCGTTACAAAACATTCGGGGTTGATCGATTTCAAGGGGCGACCGACCGGCTGGCCGGAAGTTTTCGTAAAGTGCACTTTTGACGGAAGTACCCGTCATGCAGATACCTTAAAATCAATTTTTCCTCTATGACGTCAACAGCCCATTTTTAGAATTCCAATGTGGCTAATGGAGCTTCGGCTTTACCACAAAGAGTTCCAGAGTGAGTTCAAACGATTAAATATAAAAAACAAAAGTCGGAGGACCCACATCATTTTTTTTTTTTTTTCGGTTATATGAGTCCTTTTAATACTTGACACACGCGAAATATTCCAAAGAGAAATGAAATTGGCAAAAATCTAATTTGCAAGCTTTCTATTATTGCTTTTTTAATAACTTCGCAATTTAATGACATTTCCAAAAATATCTTCCGCTAGAAAACTTTTTGTCTCACAGCATGTTTATTATGCATACCATTACGCGAAATAATATATTCACCCCTGCATACATGCAGCTGCAGCAATGCAAGACATTCGTGGGGAACGCGACCTCTCACTGAATTTGCAAATGGTCGCAAATATTTATTGAAAATTAACTCTGCGAAGTAAACAACTCATTTTTAGAATTTCAATATAATTGATATAATCGGTGTTTTCTTTAGCTAAGAAAAAAAAATTATGTGATTTATACAAAATTACGAAATCCCGCATGTAATTTTCATAATTTGTATAAATTATTACCGAGTGTCATTTACGTCTGTACTGAGAGAACCATGTTCGATATTTGTGACTATAATTGCATAGAAAAATAATTATGATTAGAAGATCTATTTTTGGTATATAGAACTATAAATATTGTTACTAATATCATAGCGGTGATAATTATAAAAATGGAGCTTCTAACAATAATTATTTTCCCATGCAATTATAATCATAAATACCAAGCATTTTTTCCCTCATTCGGTGTGGTAATTTTTAAATACGTCGATGTTCTCAATTTTATTCTTTTCTTCGCGTTTCAGTAATTCCCGAAGAAATTGCATTAGTCTTTCTCACGGAACGATCGATCCGCGTTTTATTTTCGAACTTCATCGAAAAGAAAGTCTTTTTCAATAATTTTCTCTTTGAAGCAAATAGGTCGAGATCAATAGACAGTACAGAGGCAGGAAATGAAAAGGGCAACTGTATAGGCACCTCCAGCATTTTAATTTACGATCTCCGTGGTTGCGGTGACTTCTTTTTCTTCTCGAATAACCGCAGAAGAGGAAGCGCTTCGCCTTTGCGAAAGGGGCGAGGAGCTCACACTTCGCAGAGGCCATCCTCGGCGGCGTCGAGGCGCTTTATCGTGCCCCGTGAAATGAGATATGAGGGGGAGAATGTTTATTCGCGGTTTCCCCCGCTTCGTTCCGCGCCGCGCGC